AAAGTTATGGAAAAAAAACCCAAATCTTGGTCAATAGGTTGCGGCTTCTTACACAATGGCTCCTCTGCCATTTCTCTGATTAAAACAAAAATTTAAAGAGCATTCGAATGGGAAGTTGTTGAAGAAGCTGTGATAGATTTTTGGTGTATGTACTACTATACAAGGATGAGCAATAGGCTTTCAAAAAAGAGCATACTCAATCTTTCTGCAAAGGACTATAGCGGAGTCACCATTTTTCAAAGTAAAGTTCTTCTGAGAATATTCAGAAGCAGTTTAACGTACCAAGGGTTTAGGAGCTCTTTCAAGTGCTTAATCTTGAATTTACAAGTTTTTTTTTGGAAATGCCAAGAAAAGTTGGAGTAGCAGTGAAATGTTGTATAGCGATAAATGCATAGCATAAATTCTACATGGAGAAGGAAGTTAGCAGGAGAGGTCATAAGCTGACGAAAGAGGAAATTCAAATAGGTGTTACTCACCGTAATAAACCCGCCCATAGCTGAACTCCAACTATTCCAAAAATGAAAAATACAAAGAAACATAGCAGTAGGACATTGCCCAGCATCGGCAGCGTATCTAGCAGAAGATTTACTGAAATACACTGGTACAATTTATGGTTACTGCTAATATTTCTCTAAAAACCGGTAACGATGTTGCTTTAGTAATATCCAAAAAATCAGAAGTAATTGCAGAATATAGCTCTTTCATATACACATTTAACAACAGAAATATAACATATAGGTGATACGGAAACATTCTGGCTTAATTTGTTCTCAGAATGTTCCAAAACTCACCGAGGATTCTCATTGATGGTATCCGATTTACAGCGCGAAGTGGTCTCAACACCCGCACTGTTCGAATTGCAGTGAGATTGATATTGCCGCCAAGATATTCTTGCAGAAGAAATTCTGCTATCCTGAATAACACAAATAATCAAAATTTCCTAGCTAATGCAATGCCATTTGAAAAAAAAAACTTTGATTTTATTTTTGAATGCTCTTTAGGAAGTTGTACGACTAGATTGAAAAATTTATACAGCAGAAATATCGTGAGGCGGCGTATACAAAATACATCTCAAAGTTCTGACTGATAAAACTGCTTTCTTGCTGCGGCAAATTTCTTTGCTTTGGCGAAGTATGTAGAAAGTATGTTATGCTGCCTTCTGCACGGGGTTTGCAGAGAGTAGAACTAGAGAAAAATACATTTTCGGCCTCTACATTGGCATTCTGCGCAAATAAGCGAGTTTTTTTGAGAATATTATCTTTAACACCACAGTAGTGAAAGCCGTAAAGAAGATATGGAGAAGAATAGTTCGGTGTAATTTAGTTACCATCCCTTTCTTGAA